GACGAAAGATGTGCGTCGATAAGATGCGCAACGCAGCGACGCACATCGCTCGTAAATCGCGCGGCGATCTCACGATTATAGTATTCGATGCCGAATCGAACGAGCGGCTACGTTAGAATCGGTGAAAATTACTGCCATCGGGGATTCGGCGGCGACTCTTAGCTGGCTGCGAGACGAGATTGCTCAAGGGATAGCTGTTATATCGCTGTGGTTTAGTAGATGGGGCATAAAATGGGGAAAAAGGATGAAAAGGGAAGGAGTGAGAGGAGGGGAGGGAGGTAGGAATAAAGTTTGATGCAAAAACTGTGTGTATCAGAGAGTATATTCTTTTTGATTAGGATTTTACCATCGATCTCATAGCTTTCTTGATCGATTATCCTCAAAGCGCACTCCTTTATGTCTCGTACTGGAGGGTAGAGCAGGTCAGAATCGGGAATAGTTTTGTGGTGTTGTACAATGCATCGAGAGTTGATTCAGAAATGGTAAACCTTGCACAATGCCCCCTCAGTTTCAAGTTACCGTAGAAGGTGGCTGTATGCTGTGATGCTGTGATATCTTTTCAGATCTAGTATTGCTCCTCGCTTATATGCTTGGGTGAAAATCTCGTTCAGAGATGTTTTCTGAAATAGTTCTAATTTTAGCAAATTGATTCATATTTTCATCTACTCATAGCATTTTCTCCAGGAAGATGTCGAAGCATGGCTTGCGAAGGAGAAACTTTCACCCGAAGAAGGTGTGGCAATGCTTGAAGAACGCTATAAGAAATACAAATACGTTGAAGCTAGCATGACGTCACAGAAGACGAGGTATAATATGATCCAAATAGTGCTTTCTTTGCGCTATTTTGTCAGTTTCTTTTGTGTAAAAAGCTCCTTTAAAGGACGTATTTTTTACACATAATGTGCACTTTCGCTTTTGATATGTTGATGACTCATGTGGTTTTCATGCAGAATCTTTGCGTTCATCGATGGAAAGATGGGTTATTAAATTAGCCTATGGTTGATCCAAGTTATAGAAATTTCAGAA